TGACAGCTTATGTTTGCCCAGAACTTCTTGTATTTTGTTGAACAAGGTCATGGATGAATGGTTTTCTATTGCTATAAATGTTAAAAATCTCTCACAGGGTTTTCCATTATAGCAGTATCGAACCACAGTTACCATCTGGTCAAAATGTGTCAGGTCAGGTGTAGCGTCAACAATAATAGAGTAGTATTTGGTGTCTAGATTGTTGATTTGAGTCACAATTTCATCTTGCACATGTTCCCCAATGATTTCTATCAGTTCTTCATACATGGTTTTGGATAGGTAAGTAATATGTACTTTTTCATTTTTATGTTTCTCAAGATGTTCATGTAAAAATGGGTCAAACTCTGCAATGTTCAATGGGCCCCCATGAAGTTTCCATTATTTGGTGAGCCCCACTTCTCCTCATGACCTCCAAATGCTAAACCTCTTTCACTTATACACTTTATAACAGCTACAACTCTTTTCAGTACTTCAAAATAGTACTGTATGTTCTTTCTCATCTCTTCATGATTCTCCAGAGTTCTGAGCACATTCATCCAGTCAGAAAACCCACCTGTTGTGATGTTTGGCATTTAGAAAGGAGTGTGCAAGCAAAAGAGCCTTTGCTCTTTGAGTAAACTAACCAAGGTCTCATCACAGTCTCACCATTTTTCAATCTTTTTTCAGTGTAATTGTTTGAGAAATGTCTGTTTTGCTCCTTGTAAACCTTGCTGGATTTGGTATATACATCATCTGGTTTTTTTTATTTTGAAAAAAACTGATGTTTTGCCTTAAGCAATTCTGTATAATATTATGGGCCAGTTTGCGAGGTCACTGTATTCTTTGAAATCACTGAATTTGCTTCTTTCCTGTTTCTGCTCTGTCTTTTTGTTCCATGGTACTTTCATGTTGATCACTGATTGTCATCTGTATCAAAAGTGTCAACAGAAGGTTGATGCTTGCTACAAAGAGCTCCTACGGTTTGTGCACCATCACTGGCTTCACTGGTGCTTGCTTGGCTTGTTTCAGCTGTAGGTGTTGACAAAGTTTGATTTGACAATTGTAAAATAGTTTGATAATTTTTGACATTTAGAAATTTCATCAGATCGTTTCTCATTGAGTTTGCATTTTTGGTATTCACTTAAGTACTTTCTTGAACTCATCGCTATTCCTCTTGGGGTCTTGATCTCTACAATTACAGCCATAAAATTGTTATTGTTATTAGTTTTACTGCAACTACATGTATTTATGAATAACACACTTAAACACAAACATAAAAGAGGCAATGCAACAGATGCAATTTAACATTACAATAAACTATATAAACAGAAGCATGGAGGTTTTCATAGAAGTCCTTGTTCATCGCAGTCCAGTTGCTATTACTTCATAGCAAGGCTTTTTAGGATATTATTGGCTACAAATATCTTCAGCATCATAAGAACATGAGACGCCAATGTTGGATCAGGCCAAAGGCCCATCCAGTCCAACACTCTGTGTCACACAGTGGCCAGAAATACCAGTGCCATCAGGAGGTCCACCAGTGGGGCCAGGACATTAGAAGCCCTCCCACTGTTGACCCCCCCCCAAGCACCAAGAAGACAGAGCATCACTTGCCACAGAGCCCCTATCTATACCTTGTGGCTAATAGCCACTGATGGACCTCTGCTCCATATGCTTATCTAATTCCCTTTTGAAGCCGTCCATGCTTGTAGCCGCCACCGCCTCCTGGGGCAGTGAATTCCATGTGTTCATCACTCTTTGGGTGAAGAAGTACTTCCTTTTATCCGTTGTAACCCGACCGCTCTGCAGTTTCATGGAGTGCCCACGAGTTCTTGTATTGTGAGAAAGGGAGAAAAGTACCTCTTTCTCTACCTGCTCTTTCCCATGCATTATCTTATAAACCTCGATCATGTCACCCCTCAGTCGTCTTTTCTCCAAGCTAAAGAGCCCTAAGCGCTTTAACCTTTCCTCATAGGGAAAGTGTTCCAACCCTTTTATCATTCGAGTTGCCCTTTTCTGCACTTTTTCCAAAGCTATAATATCCTTTTTAAGGTGTGGTGACCAGAACTGCACACAGTATTCCAAATGAGGTCGCACCATTGATTTATATAGCGGCATTATGATATTGGCTGATCTGTTTACAATACCCTTCCTAATAATCCCCAGCATAGCATTGGCCTTCTTTATTGCAGTCACACACTGTCTCGACATTTTCAGTGAGTTATCCACTACAACTCCAAGATCTCTCTCTTGCTCAGTCTCTGCCAGTTCAGACCCCATCAATGTGTATTTATATTTAGGATTTTTGGCTCCAATGTGCATCACCTTGCACTTGGCCACATTGAACCCCATTTGCCATGTTGACGCCCACTCGCCCATCCTTGACAGATCCCCTTGGAGTGCCTCACAATCCTCACTGGTTTTCACCACCCCGAACAACTTTGTATCATCCGCAAATTTAGCCACTTCACTGCTTACTCCCATCTCCAAATCATTAATGAACAAGTTAAAAAGCAGTGGACCAAGTACTGATCCCTGCGGTACCCCACTGCTTACCACCCTCCACTGAGAAAATTGCCCACCTACACTCACTCTCTGTTTTCTATGAACTAGCCAGTTTTTGATCCATAAAAGGACTTGTCCTTCTATCCCATGATTTTTGAGCTTACTTAGGAGCCTTTGATGAGGAACTTTATCAAAAGCTTTCTGGAAGTCAAGGTAAATAATATCTATTGGATCCCCCTCATTAGCATATGCCACACCCCCTGACATCAGGGGCCCGGCGGTGGACCTGCAAGGCCGGCGGGAGTGCAAGAAAGCCCCGCGTAGGCCCTCCCTGGCCCCAGGCAGGCAGGGGTGGGGAGAGGCAGGGAGGAAGCAACTTACCCTCCCTCTTCTCCTGCCTCCTCCTGGCTGAATGAGGGCCGGAAGCAGGGGGCGGGGCTTCGTCATGTGCCCCGCCCCCCGGTACCTCACCCGGGGGAACTGCATTCCCCCGTGTTCCCCCCCGAAATGACCTCTGACTTCAACCCACTGGCTTATGATTCTGTCACTAAAATAGCCTTATGATTCATAGTGTACAATCTGGTCATCTGAATTTTCTCGGAGTTCTTTAACAAATGAAAGTAAAGATAACAGATAAAGATAACCTTCAAATACATCAATAACAGGAGTTTGGAGTTTCTTACTTGTTTTGTTGAAACGCTGAAGAACTTATTTTAATAAACACTTTAAAAAAAACGCCATTAATTTTTGTTGAAAAATTCACTCATTAAAAAAAAAAAAATGCTTCAGGGGCCTCCTGGGATTGGGGGCCCTGAAGCTTAGGCTTCCTTAGTTTCACAGTAGATCCGTCTCTGAGTACACACAGGGCAGCAGCAGCTCTTCCAGCATTCTGACCTCAGCAACCAGTTCTTCTATGTCACCCCCTGAGTAGACGAAGTGGGGTAGCTCTGTTGTAGGGTGTTGCTCTCAGGCAGTTCAATGAGGAGTTCCGCTGCTGGCCAACTGCCTAGGGCATGCAGTTATGGCTGCGGTCACACATGCGAAATAATCCACTTTCACTCCATTTTCAATCCACTTTCCAACAGGATTTTGCCAGTTCACACAGTGAAAATCCAGTCAGAAAGTGCACTAAAAGTAGATTGGAAGTGGATTATTTAGCATGTGTGATCGCAGCCTATGTATCTGGAGAAGTGTGATTGCACACGAAAGCTTATGCCCAGATTTAAACTTTGTTGGTCTTAAAGGTGCCAGTGGACTAAAACTTTGTTCTGCTGCTTCAGACCAACATGGCTACCCCACCTGAACCATAAAAGGTAAAGGTAAAGGTTCCCTTGCTCGAAAGCCAGTCAAATCCGACTCTAGGGTTGCGGTGCTCATCTCCGTTTCAAAGCCGAAGAGCCAGCGCTGTCCAAAGACGTTTCCGTGGTCATGTGGCCGGCATGACTAAACACCAAGGTGCACAGAACGCTGTTACCTTCCCACTGAAGTGGTACCTATTTATCTACTTGCAATTTCTTGCTTTCGAACTGCTAGGTTGGTAGGAGCTGGAACTAGAGACGGGAGCTCACTCCGTCATGTGGCACACTGGGGTCTCGAACTGCTGAACTACCGACCTTCCACAGCCTGCAGTTCAGCGTCTTAACCACTTGAGCCACCGCAGCTCCTTTTCACCTGAACCATAGTCGCAGCAAAAGTCTGTAGTTCTATGGTGTAAACCTTCACTTCTCGGCCTTTCGGCTAAGATCAAGTGCGGTGTAGTTATAAACCTGCTGGAGGCACGTACTGCTTGAAAACAGAGATTCCCACAACTCCTGGCTAATATTTATTTTCTTTCTCAATACATTTTGCTCAAGCAAATCATTACATTCCTGTCAGTTTACCTCACGATTCCTCAGTTTTCAGCCCAGGCCTGGGCGGGCTTCTACCAGGCCCGAATTCTGTACCCACAATTCCCCTTTTAATTTACCACTGGGAACCCTAGTGCAGTGCAGTTGGTGGCACCACACACAGAGTACGGCCTAAATTTTGCTATCCACAGACACAAGTTTATTCCTGGTGGTTGTGGGTGGGGAAGGGGAAGGAGGCAAAAATTACCCTCTGTGTAGATGTAAGAGGCAGGAAGGGCCACTTCATTCCTTTCACCCTCTCCACAGCAGCCTCTGGGCCACATAGCCCATACAGAAATAGTGCTGTGAGGAAAGGAAGGGGGGGGGAGTGGGCAGCTGTCAGGCCCTTCCACTGATGGATTGTGGGATCCTACCCTCTATGAAGTTGCACATGCATCTGCTGTTGGGTGGGTCTGTTGACAGGAAATGAAGCTGTGACTCTCTTTCCTCAGGAAAAGACGGTGAAGGGGAGACAAGAAAATGGAAATATGTGATTTGTCTTCTGAAACAAGTTTATTGATTAGAAGCGCTTGAGGCGTCCCAGAAACATGGAGTCATGTGACACAGGAAGCAAGACAAAGAATACAGCCATTTCCCCACCCTCCTAAGGACAAGAGAATAAACTTCAGGCTCACCCTAAGCCTGTGGCTGGATCTGAACTCACCACCACCACCACCACCACCACACCAGCAAGGCACTGGATCTCTGGCCTCCCATGTGGATTTCTGACTTGTGCGCTGTAGGAGACTCTGCCGCTTCTCGGAGCTTCACCATCTCCCGGCTCTGGCGGTTTCGATCGGGGATCAGCTGCCCGTTTTCCAGTTCCCCACGCCATCGGAGAGAAAGCTAGTTATTTACAAGGTGGGTTATAAGCGAAGAGCAGCGCATCAGACCCACTGACCCGCCATTCGGACCGGCCAAAGAAAACAAACGAGACTGACTTCATCCCGAATCCCTTTTTTCTCCTCTGGCCATTGCAAGCTCATGAAATAAAACCTGGGATAAAAATCGTGCACAGTTCCGGAGGAAGCAGAGATCTGGCTATTGCGCTAAGGTTATGTCCTCCCAGTCCTACGAGGAACAAGGGCAAGCTGAGAAGGGCACGGAGCACAATTGATCAGGGCTGGTCAGTTACTGGAGCTGGCTATCTGATTTTGGGATGGCCGTTAGTGGGATGGCTGCTGCCATTCAGTTGCAAGGGGGTGTCTTGCTGATATAGCCACCACCGCTGTTCAGGCTGAACAGGACCGACCCATTTTTCATGGCTTCCTTCTCCTCTGCCATCTCTTCTTCGCTCTTCTCGCTGTCTTCTGAGTCACTCCTCACGTCTTTGTCCAACTGCAAGAGAACCAGACGACTCATTACCAATCTAGGTTATTGTTAAGTCGCTTGCTTAACAAAGCAGTCGGAGAGTGATTGTTTCTAACAATATGTTGGATCCCCAAGCATCGAGAATAAATCCACGTTTTAAGAAAAGCAAAATTTATTTCAAAGCGTTGAAGACATACTCAAACACGTTCTTTGTTAGAACTGGGGATACACAGTTAGGTCAAGCATAATAAAGGAAATTCAAACAGATACAGATCCAATGAATAGCATTCCCGCTGGCGGGCTGATAAAACGGTTGCGCGCCCAGTCCATGGGAACCAGGCAGAACATCAGACAAAACACAGGTGCAGTACTCATGAGAAAAGCAATAGGCAAGCATTACAGCATCTTCTCCCCCACACAACCTCCAGCAGTTATCTTTTGCATTCCAACGCAGGAGCAGGATGATAGAAACCAAGCCGGGTGCAACAGGGAAAGGATATGTACACAGAGGTCACAGAAAACAGAATGGCAGCTTGCTGACATACTGCCCCCCTTAAAATACACTTACAACACACCTCCCGGGTCGGGCGGGAGATCTCCCGGGCAGGGCGGGAGACCTCCCGGTTTGTCCGGGAACCTCTTGTGGAAACTACGGATCAGGTAAGGGGCCCGAATATCCCCTTCTTCCACCCATTCGCGGTGCTGGGGACCGAAATCAACCCATTCGATAAGGTACCAGAGTTTACCACGTTTCAATTTACAATCAAGGATATCAGCGATCTCAAAATGTTCATCCCCTTCCAAAATGACAGGTGGAGGAGGAGTAACTGCTGGTCTCCAGGGAGACGGGCCAGGATCCTTCTTCAACAGGCTCATGTGAAAAACAGAATGCAGAGCACGTAAATTCTTAGGCAAAACAACATCAACCGCCACATCATTTATGACTTTACGCACTTTGAATGGACCAATGAACTTCCACCCCAATTTCCTGCTAGGCCGCAGCATCTTAATGTTCTTGGTCGAGACATACACAAGATCCCCAGGTTTCAGATCAAACCCCACCACCCTACCCTTGTCTGCCTGGGTCTTGTAAGCAGCCTTGGCTGCGTCAAGTGTTTGGCATAGCAGAGGCCATGCTTTTTGCAAGGACATACACCATGTATCAGCATCCCCCACAGGACGTTGGCCCATCCCCTCCAGGAAAGGGAGGGGGGGCTGTCGTAACCAGAAACAGCTTTATAAGGAGACATGCCCGTGGAGCTATGGACAGTATTGTTATAACAATATTCAGCAAGAGGCAACAATTCACACCAATCATTCTGTTGATAATTAGTAAAACAACGAAGATATTGCTCCAGGGTCTGATTAACTCGTTCTGTTTGTCCGTCAGTCTCAGGATGATACGCGCTGCTGAGCCCTTGTTCCACCCCTAAAATGGAAAGAAGTTCCCTCCAAAACTTAGAAACAAATTGGGTCCCCCTGTCAGAAATTAATTTAGCAGGTAATTGATGAATTTTCACCACGTGAGACATAAACGATTTCGCCAACCTCTGAGCTGTAGGCAAGGAAGGAAAAGGCACAAAATGAGCTTGCTTAGAAAATAAATCAACAACCACCCAAATAACAGTGTTCCCTTTGCTCGCAGGGAGGTCAGTAATAAAGTCCATGGACACCACTTCCCACGGTCTCGATGGGGTAGGGAGTGGCTGCAGAAGACCAGGAGGCTTGCCCACTCTGGGTTTAGTCAAGGCACAGGTTTGGCAGGACCGAACAAAAGTCAAGAGGTCTTTGCGCATCTGTGGCCACCAGAACTGTCTGCGGATGAGTTGCAGAGATTTAACAAAACTCCAATGCCCTGCCAGTTTCGAACCGTGAGCAGACTCCATCACCTCCCTCCTCATTGAAATAGGCACATACAGTTTGTCTCCAGAATAAATCAGACCTTCAGGGCTACGGACACAATCTGGCAACGCTTTCAGGGAGGCATCATCATCAGCAGTAAAAGCAGACATATATTTCTGGACCCAGCCCCCCCCCCCCCAGGGAAAAGGGAAGGCGAAGTTTCATCAGAGCGCGGAATCGAGCGCGCTTGCGCACGGGTGACCACAGCCCCCCCCAGGTGGGAGGGGGAAAAAACAGAGTCCATGATGATTTCACGCTGACTGTCATGTTGTGGGAGGCGTGAGAGCGCGTCAGCCAGGGAATTAGCCGTCCCAGGGAAATGACGAAGAGTGAATCGAAACTTAGCAAAGAAGTCCGCCCAACGAAGTTGTTTAGCGTTGAGAGAACGGGGGGATTTCAGCATTTCCAGATTTTTATGGTCAGTCCAGACTTCAAATGGCAGTTGCGCCCCCTCCAACCACTGCCTCCAAGTGGAGAGAGCCAGCCGGATCGCTGATGCCTCCTTCTCCCAAATCCCCCAGTTTCGTTCAGCGTCAGAAAACTTTTTAGACACAAATGCGAGGGGGTGTAAACGACCATCTTCCCCTTCTTGCAAAATAGCGGCCCCCATTGCCACATCCGAGGCATCAGTTTGGACAATGAATTTTTTAGTTTCATCAGGGCGCGCCAGCACTGGCTCAGAGGTGAACATCAGTTTAAGTTTCTCAAAAGCCTCTGCGCAAGCAGGGGACCATTTAAGCGGGGCGCCTGGTTTCGTAGCATCAAAACCCTTCCCCTTGGTCTTTAGCAAATCAGTCAGAGGAAGGGCAATTTGAGCGAAATTCTGGATGAAATTTCTATAAAAATTGGCGAATCCGAGGAACATTTGCAATTGTTTGCGGGTCCTGGGGGGTTCCCAGTCAAGTACAGCCTGTATTTTAGCAGGGTCCATTTCCACCTTCCCCCCAGAGATGCGATAACCCAAAAAGTCAATGCATGTCTTGTGGAATTCACATTTTGACAGCTTTGCAAACAGGTGGTGTTCATAAAGTCGCTTAAGGACCTGGCGCACCAATTTAATATGCGACGGGAGGTCCTGAGAGTACAGCAACACGTCATCAAGGTAAAGGACCACTCCTTTGAACAAGAACTCATGTAGGACCTCATTGATTAGGTTCATGAAGACCCCCGGAGCCCCTTGAAGCCCGAAGGGCATAACGAGGTACTCAAACTGCCCCAAAGGGGTATTAAATGCAGTCTTACTTTCATCCCCCTCCCGAATGCGCACACGGAAATATGCATCTCGGAGGTCAAGTTTCGAGAAGATTTTGCCCTTGGTGGCCTCAGCTACCAAGTCCTTGATTAGCGGGAGGGGGTAGGCATTGGACAAAGAAACAGCGTTCAGACCCCTATAATCAGTGCACAATCTAAGCCCCCCGTCTTTCTTCTTTCGGAAAAGTACAGGCGCGGCGAAAGGGGAGGAAGCCGGGCGAATGAAACCCCGGGCTAGATTTTTATCAATAAAGTTCCGCAGTTCAACTTTCTCAGCCGGCCCCATCGCATAGATTTTACCTTTAGGTAATTTACAGTCAGGCAAAAGTTCAATAGCACAGTCAGTAGAGCGATGGGGGGGCAATTCGTTAGCTTCATCTTCGCCAAACACTTTCGCCAAGTCTCTATACTCTCGAGGCAAAGAAGCTAACTCTTCCGGCTGCAAAGCGCCGCAGGGGAACTGTGCGGTCGGCTGGTCCCCCCACGAGTCCAACCAGCAGTGATCTACACATTTAGCCGACACAAATTTGACAACCCCTTCTTCCCACAAGATGTAAGGGTCATGGGTAAACAACCAGGGACTCCCCAGTACTAAGTCAAACTGCGATTTAGGGGTAACAATGAAGGATCTGGATTCCCAATGATCGCCAGCCCCCAACCGCAAAGCCATAGTCTCGTGTGTACAAGGTTCCATGGGTGCCCCATCCATTTGGGTAAAAATGATGGGAGACTTCAAGGGGACTATCCCCGCTTCCAGTGCCAATAACACTCTAGGGCTGATGAGATCCCTCCCACACCCAGAATCAATCAACGCTCTCACCCTAACGTGGGTCCCCAGGAGCGGATTCATTAACGAGACAGTCACGAAAAACAGGGAAGGGGTTTCTCTCACCACCTTGGGCGCAGAGCTAGAATGGCCGTGTCGTTTTGCGCCTCTCACAACAGGCCGTTGTCGTTTTCCGCCGTTTCAGCCACCACCTCCTCTTCTGACTCGGCAGCAGACGGTTCGATTCCCTCCAGGCCTTGGGCCGCCTGCAGAGCTTTGGAGAAACGCGGTTTAGCCATCCCCTTCTTCCCCGTCAGCGGTGTCTTCGGGCTTGGAGTAGGCGGCTTGTCTTTTACCTGACGGCTGCCACAATCCACAGCGAAATGCCCCTTCTCCCCGCACTTGAGACAGAGCCCCATCTTCATACGTAGTTCTCGTGCCGATTCCGACAGGCGTTGAGTCTTGGGTCTGGAGGCACTGGCAGCGGCGGGTCTGTTGGTCGTAGCAGCCAAGTCGAGTTTGATGGTGGTGAGCCGATCCTCTGCATTTTCAGCTTCCTGGGTCCAGGCCATCAGGGAGACAGGATTGACAGTCTTCAGAACCGTTTCTCGGATGTCTGCGTTGAGTCCCAATCGATACATCTCAGCCAATATATGATCAGGGTAGTCTCGGAGCTTTGCTGCCTGCTTGTGGAATTCCAGTGTGTACTCGCGAACCGACTTCTTATTCTGGCGGTAGGTGCGGAGAAACGCTTTAGCTCTTTGGCTCGCGTTGACATCTTCAAACCTCGCCCGCAGCGCCCACATGAATGCTCGCAAATTCAAAAGTTCCGGACCGCGGTCATTGTGCAGTCCAACATACCATGTGGCGGCGTCTCCTTTTAGTCTTGCCGAGATGACATCAATAAGACCAGCTTCATTTCGGAACAGGTGTCGGCTCTCTTCTACGAATTTATGCACTCTCACCGTGAAGAAAGCGAGTTCATCTGGGTTGCCGTCAAAGGTAGCCTCCAGTAGATCTTTGGGTCTGGGCCATGGAGGCCGTACCAACGGTCCCAGCTGACCCGGAACTCCCCTGAGAGGGAGACCCGGACCAACCGGTGGCCCCGCTGGCATTGGCCTCATCGGTGGCGGCAGACCCGGCACCGGCGGACCCCCCGGCATCGGCTGTTGCACAGGCCCTTGCTGAGGCGGTCCCGCCGGCGGCTGGACAGGCACCTGCGGCGCGGGAACTCCCGGTACTTGCAGCGGAGGTCCCGTCGGCGGCTGAGCAGGCACCTGCGGTGCGGGAACTCCCGGTGCAGGGACAACTTGTTGCTGCGCGGCGTGTGCGTCAAGGAAATTAGCCATTCTAACGTCCATCATTCCCGGCAGAGCTTCCATTACATCCTGGAATGTCCTCAACAAGTCCCTCACCGAGTATTCCAGTTCTGCCAGTCGTTCGGTCCCATCAGCGGTTGAGCAGGCATCGGCGGCGCGGGAAATCCCGGTGCAGGAGCAACTTGTTGCTGCGCGGCGTGTGCGTCAAGGAAATTAGCCATTCTAACGTCCATCATTCCCGGCAGACCTTCCATCACATCCTGGAATGCCCGCATTAAGTCTCTCACCGAGTCTTCCAGTTCTGCTAGTCGTTCCCCGGTAGTTTCCTCCGGGATGGGGTCCCGAGGTCGATAGTCCGGGGGTGGGTCATAGTCCTCTTCCGTTTGGAAGGCTCCGGTGCCCTCCTCATCTTCTGCGTGGCCTCGCGGCCCCGATGGCTCGAACATCCACTCCTCGAGGTCTTGCTTGGAACTCCCCTTCTCCGAGGTAGTCCCCGGCTCCGGGAACAATCCCTTGTCAAACAGACTCTCACGTAATCCGCTCCCCCGACGGGAGTACACCTCTCGGGTGCCCTGAGTGTTGTACATAGTCCAGTCATCCTGCTGTTGAGTCTTCCGCGGACCCCAGTGCGAAGGGGTCGGAGGCGGCCAAGACAGATGTGCAGGCAGGCGGGGAATCGTTCCCCCCACGGCACCCTCCACCGAGGCTGCAGTCGTGAACACCAAAGAAGCGGAGGTATGTGGGACCGATCCTGAGTCCCCCTCCGTGTTAAGTAGGTTTCCCTCAGTTCCGCTCATGATCTTGCCAGATTCGGAACGATAGGAGCAAGAGAGTTCTAACAATATGTTGGATCCCCAAGCATCGAGAATAAATCCACGTTTTCAAGAAAAGCAAAATTTATTTCAAAGCGTTGAAGACATACTCAAACACGTTCTTTGTTAGAACTGGGGATACACAGTTAGGTCAAGCATAATAAAGGAACTTCAAACAGATACAGATCCAATGAATAGCATTCCCGCTGGCGGGCTAATGAAACGGTTGCGCGCCCAGTCCATGGGAACCAGGCAGAACATCAGACAAAACACAGGTGCAGTACTCATGAGAAAAGCAATAGGCAAGCATTACAGCCTCTTCTCCCCCACACAACCTCCAGCAGTTATCTTGTGCATTCCAACGCAGGAGCAGGATGATAGAAAACAAGCCGGGTGCAACAGGGAAAGGATATGTACACAGAGGTCACAGAAAACAGAATGGCAGCTTGCTGACAGTGATTCAGCAAGAACACAACTTTATTCTTCAACTCAAACACAACTCCAACACGGATCAACATCTGATAGCCAGAACAGCCTTTCCATTGCAGCTGTCCTGCTTTTAAACTCTCCCGGCTAATGTAGCCACACCCACTGTACAAATACCAACCAATAAGGTTCTTCACATAAGGACCAATCATGGACGTTCCCGCTCAGGGAGCTTGCTGTAAAGTGATTGGCTTGTTACTTCGTGGGCTAGCATATGATTGGATATCTTTGGATCCTAGCCCAGGACGAAGCTCAACATGACATTTCAATTAGATGTTTCACACATTGCATTCAAGGCAGCTTTGAATAGATTACAGTTATCCCTCCTTCTGTTTTGTCCAGACAGATGCATCACTGCTTAGTTCTCGTGGCCCTTTCTTACACGCCCAGGGAAATGCTGATCACCACTTTGGGTCAGGCAGCAATTTTTCTCCAGGCCAGTTTGTAGAACAGAGCTTGTTAGGGCTTGGACGCGAAATGGTTAGTACTTGGACAACCACCAAGGAAAGCTGGGGTTGCTATGTGGAAGAAGGTGATGGGCAAACCAAACCACCACTGCTCATCTCCTGCCTTGAAAACCTCACGGTCCTGGGGCCGCCATGAGTTGGTTCTGACTTGATAGCACAAAAGAAATTTTGCAGTGAATCAGGAGACAATGGTGGTTTAACAGAGCTGGATATTATCAGGTATTGCAGCCTGCACCTCTAGATCAGTGGCTCCTACCGGTTCCGGGAAGATGATATGAAAACTGTCTGGGAAACTGAACAGTGGGGAGATAAAGTTGCCACTGAGTAGCCAGATACGGAAAAACAAGACCGAACGTTTTGATCCAGGTGCCAATGGCATGCACTTGTCTTTAATGAAAGTATGGGATTTCTGTAACCAAAAATTAGGACTACAAACTTCATGGTGTATCCCATTGATTCACCATTTTGATTTTAAAAGGCTTTCCATGAATTAAGGACTTCATTAATGTATAATGTCTTTCCCCACATGTGCCCCAGAGAGCACTGAGGTCAGGAACACAGAATTGCCTGACTCTTCCTGGCCCGAGAGACATCAAGTTGGTGGCCATTAGAGCCAGGGCCTTTTCGGCGGGGGGCCCACGCTGGTGGAATGAGCTCCCGGATAACATCAGGGCCCTGCGAGACCTTCTACAGTTCCGCAGGGCCTGCAAAACGGAGCTCTTCCACCAGGCTTTCAATTAGGGGCCGCCGCTGATGAGTGGGCCACTGGCGAATGTGCCACTGACGAATGCGCCACCGGAGTACATCTTGGCCTGCATGAAACACCAACTGGTTATTGCCTTTGTTTGCATATTATACACCGCCATCTTTATCACTAGTACTGTTTATTTGCTTAGGCTTTGTTGTATATTTCATTGTATTTTAATGTATTTATTGTTTTAGTGTATTAATGTTGTTAGCCGCCTTGAGCCAGTTCTGTGGCAAGGCAGGATAAAAAAAGAAAGAAAGAAAGAAAGAAAGAAAGAAAGAAAGAAAGAAAGAAAGAAAGAAAGAAAGAAAGAAAGAAAGAAAGAAAGAAAGAAAGAAAGAAATTATATCTTAGATTGCTATCCTATGATCTATGGGTGGAATACAGGTGCTGTGGTTTCAGCATTTACAAATCAAGCATTTTGTTTTTGCATATAAAGCAAGCTGAGATAGGACTGTGTCAACAACAGCTTTGAAAGGATCTTAGATTAACCCAAAAACCCTGAGCACCAGAAAAAAACTGGTGGCTAATGTACACACAGTATTGGCAAACTCAGAAGGAAAAGTCTTGATTTACAGAGAGGAGGGAAGGAATTTGCAGTACCTAATCTGGAAGAGAGCTGGGTGAGTCTTTTAAAACAACCTTTGAAGATCTCCATTAATGTGGGTTTAAGACAGAATGCAGCAAAAGCTATGTACAGCTATGTATAACCCCTAATAGACTGGCAAATACATTTCCCACATCCTCTAAAAAACGCTGGTTAAGAGCGGAGGACTCTAATCTGGAGAACTGGGCTTGATTCCCCACTCCTCCTCCACATGAATCCTGCTGGGTGACCTTGTTCTCTCAGAATTCCCAGAATTCTCTCATCCCCACCTGCCTCACAAGGTGCCTTTTGTGGGGAGAGGAAGGGAAAGGTGATTGTCAGCCACTCTGAGGCCCTTTCTGCAGTCTCCTTTTAATCCATGTTCACTGCAGTGTTGAACAGCCACGCCTTTGCTCCATCTTTTTTCTCCATTTCTACATATGTCATGTCAAACTGGATTGAAACCTGTTTGCAAATTTCCGGTAGAGAAAAGTGGAGTACAAAAACCTTCTCCTTTTCTTGGCTTCTGGTACTGTAATGAAAAAGGGGATCCTTTTTATACTTGTGATGGCTCTGTCCAGGAATTTATTGGGAAAGTATCTTCATCATAATCAAAGAAATTCTACCTTTTACAATACTGCTTGCTACTGGATTGCTATGTGGATTATCTGTCAGCCGTCTGTGAAGATACTGGTGTTATTGGAATTTTTGTGTGTTAATTGTCCATTAGAAGACAAGGGCTGGTTTTGTACCCCGCCCTTCACTACCCAAAGGAGTCTCAGAGCGGCTTACAATCACTTTCCCTTCCTCTTCCCATAACAGACACCCTGACCGATTTCACACAAGAGCTGTGCCGCGGTCGCGCTTCCCTTTTGCCCCGCTTCTATTGGTCAATTTCCCACTCAAAGCCATGCGGCTGCATTTTGACCCGCGGCTTCACCCGATTTCCCCCGCGGTTTCATGATCCTCAAAAAACAGGGGCTGGGAACTGCGGGTAAAATTGGGCGAAGTCGTGGGTCAAAATGCAGCCGCGCGGCTTCGAGTGGGAAATTGACCAATAGAAGCGGGGCAAAGGGAGGCGTGACTGCGGCGCAGCTCTTGTGTGAAATCGGTCCCTGTGTGGTAGGTGGTAGGTGGGGCTGAGAGAGCTCTGAGAGAACTGTGACTGGCCAAAGGTCATTCTGTGGAATGGGGAGAGATAATAACAAATGCTTCTGAGCATACAGAGAAGAAATTCCCATACTGAGGGTCCACAAACATCCCTTACATATTGGGTGGGTTCAAGGTCCCATGATCTTTGGGGGGTAGGACTTTGATGAGCACCCTCCTCCCATGACCGCCCTCTGCACCTACCGTGCCACAGACGAAGAATCTGCCCAACATGCGGACAATAAGGTAAGACCAGAATATGTGCAGCAGCTGCAGGATCATCAGGGAACCATTCATTAAGTAGTAGCCCAAAAAGGGCTTGTATATTTCCATGGAGTAGTAGTATGTGTTGTAGAGCACCCTGCGGGGAAAGAAGGAGGGGAATCATGAGAGGACGAAGCTCGCTAGGGTCTCTGCCTTCAGACCGTCAGCTCTTTGGGGGAGGACCTGCATTTGCTGTCTAATTACTAGTGTGCCAAAGGTCTGTGGTGGTGCCCCATGTGGGGGACCTCCCCAGCCTTCTCCTCCGCCGCTGAATTCCTCCCAATTTCAATCTCCAAACTGTGGCACCAACATATTAGGAACCTCGGTTGTTCCCGTTTTTAAAATTTCATACAGGTACTGTCCATGCACTGTTTGCCACTAGCTCTGATTTCTTCAGTTGACTTAAGAGGACATAAGAGAAACCAATGTTCGATCAGGCCAGTGGACCATCCAGTCCAATACCCTGTCACACAGTGGCCAAAAATACCAGGTGCCATCAGGAGGTCCCCCCTTCTCCACTTCTCCCCGCCTCTGCCTGGCCCCGACAGCAAAGCCCATTTGGCTCTGAGCCACCGGGCCCAACAAACCTACCCCGGCCCCCCCCCCACGGCAACAGTGGTGAGGCCACTCTCCCCTTGTGTCTCCCAGCCTACCCATTCTCAGTGCTCCTTTGTGCACGGACAAAGCACTACAGGAAAGTCGTCTGAATGTGATTCTACGTACAAAGGCATCAAGTTTCTCTTCAATGCACTATTTGACCCATGCGCAAGGGAGGATGTGCACTTCAGTAAAACACCACACACTAAAGAATCTCAGATGTCATCCCATGTACAATTGCATAGATTGTTTAGAATACTTCAACTTTCAACCTTGTACATGTGCAAATCAGTAAAGCAGAGGGGGAAAAGACGTGTGTACTGAACGTGTGGCATTTTTGCTCTTAAAACTGGATGCTCACCCAACATGCCCCCTTCGTGCGGATCTCTAAATTCGCACATCGGGGGCACTTGTGGGGCAGGGAGATTTTCCTGCACATTTGGGGCAATACCCAGATGTGCAGAGAAATCTGAAAACTTGGAAAAAATATGCAGGTGATATTTAAATCCCCCCCAAAAGTAAAAGAGCATTCCCTGCGCAGGCACAGGGAACGCTTTGAGAACGGCTTCGACGACGCCACCACCAGGGAGGGAGAGGGGTGGGAGAAGGCTTGGCCAGCCGGCGGCTATAAGCTGCTCAGCTCTCGCCACCAGGGGGGAGAAAGTTTGGCGGGCCGAGCTCAGGCCTCACTACCACCACCGCTGGGGGAGGGAGGGAGAAAGTTTGGTGGGCCAGCCAGGCCTCATCACTGCCGCCACTAGGGGAGGGGGGAGAGAGAAAGCTTGGCGGGCCAAGTTCAGGCCTCGCCGCCGGTGCTGAGGGAGGGAGGAGAAGGCTTGGAGGGACACAGGCCTCATTGTGGGTGCCAGGGATGGGGGGTAGGGGGAAAGGCTCACCTACGGCTGCTTCCTTCTCCTCCTGTGGAGCTTCTCCTCCCCCCTATGAGTATCGCGGGTCCCCCTTCTTGTCTATATACTAATAGTCAAGGCGCCCCTGCGTGCGGATATCTAAATCCGCACATCGGGGGCACCTAGGGGGAAAACAGATTTTCCTGCACATTTGGGGTAATCCCCAGATGTGCAGAAATATCTGAAATCTATAAAAAACTATAGGGGGGATACTTAAATCCCCCCAAAAGTAAAAGAGTGTTCCCTGTGCATGCACAGAGAAACACTCTGATAACTGCCTCGCCACCGCCACTGGGGGGGAGGGAGAAGTCTTGGCCGGCCGGCAACTGTGAGCCGTTCAGCCCTCACCACCACTGCTGGAGGGAGAGAAAGCTTGGCGGGCCAGCCAGGCCTCGCCACCACTGCGAGGGGAGAGTGGCCTCACCACTGTTGCCGTGGGGGGGGGCGGGGGAGGTTTGGTGGGCCCGGTGGCTCAGAGCCAAATGGGCTTTGCCGTGGGGGCCAGGCAGAGGCGGGGAGAAGTGCAGAAGGCTCACCTGTGGCGGCTTCCTCCTGCGTGGAGCTCCCCCCTATGAGTATCGTGGGTCGCCGCTTCTTGTACTTTATATATGATCGGGGTAAGGTTAAGAAGAATGACTACCGCATCACATCCAGCTGCCCCACAGTGGCTTATAACCACAGATGGTCCTTTCCAGTTCCGTTAATTTGTCTGAAACCAACCTATGGCAGAACCAACCTATGTCATGAGACAGAATGGAAAGCTGCAGACTAAGAGAGGTGACCTGGAACTGAAACTTACTTGTTGGGAAAAATCACCAGGGTGGTGAAGATGTAAACGGCGGAGAAAACAATGAAGAGAGTTTCACAAGCCCTGCGCCATTTCAGGTAGTGTAATATCTTGTTGGGCTGGGGACACAAAACAGACATAAGGAAGTCCTCCTTTGAACAGGGCACATTATTCATTTAGAGAAGAGAAGAAGAAGAGATTGGATTTATACCCCGCCCTTCACTTGGAGTCTCAGAGCGGCTTACAAACTCCTTTCCCTTCCCCTCCCCACAACAGACACCCTGTGAGGTGGGTGGGGCTGAGAGAACTCTGACAGAAACTGCTCTTTTTCAAGGACAGCTGTGCCAGAGCTTCTGACTGACCCAAGGTCACATCAGCAGGTGCAAGTGGAGGAGTGGGGAATCAAACCCAGTTCTCCCAGATTAGAGTCCGCACACTTAACCACTACACCAAACTGGCTCTCATTTATATCCAGTCTTTCACCCTAAGGAAGATCCAAAGTAGCTTACATCAGTCTCCGCTCTTCCACTTTATCCTTATCAACTGGCGGAATTCCCTGCTGCAAGAAATAATATTCAGACTGCTTTATGAGAGGATGGGGGTGGGGACTGCTTTATGAGAGGATTCATGGAGGGGAGAACCATTAATATTAGCCATGGTATCTCCATAGAACCTCCATGTTTAGAAGCAGTATACCTCTGAATGTCAGTTGCTGGGAAGGGTTGACAGCAGGAGGAATCTTGGGCCTCCGCGTCCCTATTTAAGGAACTCCTGGCACATCTGGTTGGCCACTAGGGTTTCCAGCCAAGAGCAAAAGACGGGGTGGTGGTGCAGAGAACAAAATGGTGTCCCATGATGCCATTTCTGGCTGCATACCCAGAAGTGACATCAGTGAGTTGCAGCACGCTCTGGGATTCCCTGAAGCAGGTAACCCATAACATGTCAGTGATGTCAGTTCCACTTCCACTGCCAGAAATGGTGCTGTGAGATGCCATTCCAGACCCTCCATTTCCCTCACCACCAGTCAACAGAGTTAGGGTGGGGCAATGGAGGGCGGCCCCCTCATGGATCACTGCCTTGTCGTGGCGAGGGGGCTTGTGTAGTTCAGTGAAGCTGTGGGCTATGCCGTGAAGGGCCACCCAAGACGGACAGGCCACAGCAGAGAACTCAGACCAAGCGTGATCCACCTGGAGAAGGAAATGGCAACCCACTCCAGTATTTTTGCCAAGAAAACCCCATGGACAGTATCAAAAGGCTAAAAGATATGACGCCGGAAGATGAGCCCCTCAGGTCGGAAGGTGTCCAATATGCTACTGAGGAAGAGCAGAGGACAAGTACAAGTAACCCCAGAAAGAGTGAAGCGGCTGGGCCAAAGCCGAAAGGACGCTCAGTTGTGGATGTGTCTGATGGTGAAAGGAAAGTCCGATGCTGCAAAGAACAATACTGCATAGGAACCTGGAATGTAAGATCTATGAATCAAGGTAAGCTTGACGTGGTCAAAAATGAGATGGCAAGACTGAACATCGATATCCTAGGAATCAGTGAACTAAAGTGGACAGGAATGGGCGAATTTAACTCAGAAGACCATTATATCTACTACTGTGGCCAGGAATCTCGTAGAAAAAATGGTGTGGCCTTTATAGTCAACAAGAGAGTGCAAAAGGCAGTACTGGGATACAATCTCAAAAATGACAGAATGATTTCTGTCCGATTCCAAGGCAAACCATTCAACATCACAGTAATCCAAGTCTATGCCCCAACCACTGATGCAGAAGAGGCTGAAGTGGACCGGTTCTATGAAGACCTACAACACCTCCTAGAACTAACACCAAAAAATGATGTCCTCATCATCATAGGGGACTGGAATGCTAAAGTAGGAAGTGAAAAGGTAACTGGAATAACAGACAAGTTTGGCCTTGGAAAGCAAAATGAAGCAGGGCAAAGGTTAACAGAGTTTTGTCAAGAGAACACACTGGTCATAGCGAACACCCTTTTCCAACAACCTAAGAGGCGACTCTACACATGGACATCACCAGATGGGCAACACCGAAATCAGATTGACTATATAATTTGCAGTCAAAGATGGAGAAGCTCTATCCAGTCAGTAAAAACAAGACCTGGAGCTGACTGTGGTTCAGATCATGAGCTACTCATTGCAAAATTCAGACTTAAACTGAAGAAAATTGGGAAAACCACGAGGCCATTCAGGTTTGACCTAGATCGCATCCCTGATGAATATACAGTAGAGGTGAAGAATAGATTCAAGGGTCTGGATTTGATAGATAGAGTGCCTGAAGAACTATGGACGGAGGTTCGTGACATTGTACAGGAGGCAGCAATCACCACCATCCCAAAGAAAAAGAAATGTAAGAAAGCAAAGTGGCTTTCTGATGAGGCTTTACAAATAGCAGAGGAAAGAAGGAAAGCGAAAGGCAAAGGCGAAAAGGAAAGATTTACCCAACTGAACGCAGATTTCCAGAGAACAGCAAGGAGAGATAAGGAGGCCTTCCTGAATGAACAGTGCAAAGTAATAGAAGAAAACAATAGAATGGGAAGGACTAGAGATCTCTTCAAGAAAGTTGGAGAAATCAAGGGAGCGTTCCATGCAAAGCTGGCCATGATAAAGGACAAAAACGGTAGGGACCTAACAGAAGCAGAAGAGATTAGGAAAAGATGGCAAGAATACACAGAAGAACTATACAAGAAAGACCTCGATGTCCTTGACAACCACGACGGTATAATCACTGACCTCGAGCCAGACATCCTGGAATGTGAAGTTAAATGGGCCTTAGAAAGCATTACTAACAACAAAGCTAGTGGAGGTGATGGTATTCCAGCTGAGCTATTCAAAGTCTTAGAAGATGATGCTGTTAAAGTTCTGCACTCCATTTGCCAGCAAATTTGGAAAACGCAACAGTGGCCACAGGATTGGAAAAGATCAGTATACATTCCAATCCCAAAGAAGGGCAATGCCAAGGAATGTTCAAACTATCGCACAATTGCACTCATATCACACGCTAGCAAGGTCATGCTCAAGATCCTACAAGCTAGGCTTCAACAGTACGTGGATAGAGAACTGCCAGAAGTACAAGCTGGGTTTCGAAGAGGTAGAGGAACTAGAGATCAAATTTCCAACATTCGCTGGATTATGGAGAAAGCAAGAGAGTACCAGAAAAATATCTACTTCTGCTTCATTGACTATGCTAAAGCCTTTGACTGTGTGGATCACAACAAACTATGGCAGGTCCTTAAAGAGATGGGAGTACCAGACCACCTCACATGTCTCTTGAGAAACCTGTATAAGGGCCAAGAAGCGACAGTTAGAACCGGATATGGAACAACTGATTGGTTTCGCATAGGAAAAGGAGTACGACAAGGATGTATATTGTCGCCTTGCTTATTTAATATATATGCAGAGTACATCATGCGAAATGCTGGCCTAGATGAATCACAAGCAGGAATTAAGATTGCGGGGGAAAAGATCAACAACCTCAGATATGCAGACGATACCACTCTGATGGCAGAAAGTGAAGAGGACCTCAAGAGCCTCTTGCTCAGGGTAAAAGAGGAGAGCGCAAAAGTGGGCTTGAAGCTCAACATCAAAAAAACTAAGATCATGGCATCCGGCCCCATCACTCCTTGGCAAATAGAAGGGGAAGTCGTGGAAGTAGTGACAGACTTCACGTTCCTGGGATCCCAGATCACCGCAGACTGTGACAGCAGTCATGAAATTAAAAGACGCCTGCTCCTTGGGAGGAAAGCGATGGCGAACCTAAACAGCATGATAAAAAGTAGAGACATCACCCTGCCAACAAAAGTCCGCATGGTCAAAGCAATGGTATTCCCAGTAGTCATGTATGGCTGCGAGAGTTGGACTATAAGGAAGGCCGAGCGCAGAAGAATAGATTCTTTTGAACTATGGTGCTGGAGAAGACTCTTGAGAGTCCCTTGGACTGCAAGAAGAACAAATCAGTCAATCCTCAAAGAAATCAACCCTGACTGTTCCCTGGAAGGCCAGATAATGAAACTGAAGCTCAAATACTTTGGCCACCCAATGAGAAGGGAGCACTCACTGGAGAAGACCCTGATGCTGGGAAAGATTGAAGGTCAAAGAAGATGGGGCGGCAAAGGATGAGATGGTTAGACAGTGTCATCGATGCAACGAACATGAAGTTGAGCAAACTTCAGAGGATGGCGGAAGACCGGAGGGCCTGGAGGGAGCTGGTCCATGGGGTCGAGAAGAGTCGGACTCGACTGTGCGACTGAACAACAACAACAATGGAGGGCGGGGGCAGGAATCCCCTTGCCCTCAGAGGAGAATAGGATGCTAGAGTGGCCCCTTGGCCTGATCCAGCAGGGCTGTTCCTACCACAGTGGCAGGTTTTAAAAAGAGGTTCTAATCCCTGGTGAGGTTAACTGAAATGAAGCATTATTATGTGCATTTCCTTATAGTTCTCCATTTTCATTTGCTGATACGCTAAACAGATGCGTATCCCCTGCAAACATCTGCGCCTGCTGCTCCAGAAGATGAAGAGGAGGAGGAGGAGGAAGAGATTGGATTTATACCCCGCCCTTCACTACCTGAAACAGTCTCAGAGCGACTTACAATCTCCTTTCCCTTCCTCTCCCCACAACAGAGACCTTGTGAGGAAGGTGGGGCTGAGAACTCTCTCAAGAACTGCCCTTGAGAGAACAGCCCTGAAAGAACTTGTGACTGACCCAAGGTCATGCCAGCATGTGGATGAGTGGGGAATCAAACCCGGTTCTCCCAGATTAGAGTCTACGCTCCTAACCACTACACCAAACTGGCTCTCAAGCAGCTTTCCCAATGGGGACAGGGGGATCCAGGACACTTTCCCTCTCGCAGTGGTCGTGAGCCTCACTCACCTCCAACAAACAGTCGGAAGCATCGTGTATAATCATGACCAGGGTGCCGATGCGGATGTAGTTGGCACAGTATGAGAAGCTGATGAGGAAGATGGTGGCAGCGTGGTGGATAATTTGCATTTTGTGGTCCTGAAGAGGGGGAGAGGAGACAGCTGAGGGACCGCTGGGGGCACAAAGGAGACTCACGTGTATGGAAAATGAATATAAAGATTACTAAAGCGACCTCTTATAAGGAAAAAATATATAAAATGTTTTATAGATGGTATATCCAGACAAATTAGTTAAATTCTATCTTGACCTACCAAATGAGTGTTGGAAATGTCAAAAGGTCGGTTCGGCAGAGAAACAGCAGAGATGGACAATTCAACTTCAATTTTGAGAGGACACAACAAAGAAAATTTCGAGGACACATGGTCAAGATTTTATAAATGGATAGAAAAGTATAACATATAAAATTTCCAGACATATAATCAAAATAAAAGGAAATAAGAAATATATGTTTAATTATAAGCAAAAGGTATATATGAAAATTAAAAGGTGGATAAAAGAAATGAATGTTTTGGCTATAGTATGAGGTCAATAATTAGGTAAGTAACGATAGAAACGGATTCCCCCAACCTGTATTTATGTATGTTTGTCTTTTGTATGTCTTACTTATGAAATAATTTTTTTAAAAATTAAAATACTGCAGACCGAGTTGCAGTTAAGGTAAGCCAAGGCACCACAATCTCCTTTCCCTTCCCCGCCCCACAAAAGACACCCTTGTGAGGAAGGTAGGGCTCGAGGACTGCTCTTGAGAGCTCTGAGAGAACTTGTGACTGACCCAAGGCCACACCAGCAGCTGCATGTGGAGGAGTGGGGAATCAAACCAGGTTCTCCCAGATTAGAGTCCGCGCACTTAACCACTGCACCAAACGAGTGTGGCCACGTCTTGGCCATGACACTAACCCACTTTTCATGCAGCTAGGCTGGGTCTGTGAGTGCCGCCCTTGGCTCTCAACCTGCTCTGCAAAATGCCAACTCCACTCCATCCGCCAGCAGTGAGTCCAGCCCCTCCAAAGCACCAGCCTTCTTCACCAGCACTCCTTCTGTCTCATCTGCTCAGGAGGAACTGAGTCAGGCATTCCCCTCAATGGTCCCTCCCTTCCTGCCCTGTTACAACTGCTTGTTCTCCATTGACTCCTTTTGCAAGACAAAGGCCGTGCCCATACGAGCCGTTTGGGCGAGAGAAGGACGGATCAGGGCCGGAGCAAACGGGCGCGATCCCACATCAACATCTGGGGAACGTCGTGCTACCGTCTCCGATCCGTCCCATCCCGCCCTTACAGCACACCAAAAAAGAACCACCTACCTGGGTGGTTTTCGATTGGGCCGCTGCAAGTGCGGCCGTGGGATTGCCGGCGCGTCCTTGCGCCGGCGCATCCCCGGCTCCTGGACGAACTGCGCATGTGTGAGCATGCGCAGTTCGCCAGGCTCCCCTTCGCACCGTCGCTTTCTCCCCGGCATCTGATCATGCTGGGGAGCGACGGCGCCGCGGCTGGGGGGATGTGTGAGATCCTGCCGCGGCATGTCAACTTTGATGCGGCTCGAATTAGCCGCAGTTCGAACGTCGTTTTCCCTGCCGTGTGGCAGGGACCAAAGTCATTCAGCCTGGGCCCAAGGAGACCACCACACTGAGAGTACAGTGAAGACCCTGGCTTTGTTGTTGTTCAGTCGCACAGTCGAGTCCGACTCTTCACGACCCCATAGACCAGATCCTGCCAGGCCTTCCTATATTCTGCCGTCCTCTGAAGTTTGCTCAATTTCATCATCGTTGCATCTGTGACACTGTCTAACCATCTCATCCTTTGCCGTCCCCGTCTTCTTTGACCTTCAATCTTTCCCATCATCAGGGTCTTCTCCAGTGAGGGCTCCCTTCTCATCGGGTGGCCAAAGTCTTTGAGCTTCAGTTTCATTATCTGGCCTTCCAGGGAACAGTCAGGGTTGATTTCTTTTAGGATGAACTGATTTGATCTCCTTGCAGTCCAAGGGACTCTCAAGAGTCTTCTCCAGCACCATAGTTCAAAATAATCTATTCTTCTGCGCTCGGCCTTCCTTATAGTCCAACTCTCGCAGCCATACCTGAATGAAATACAGTGCAGCTATTGGGGGCTCCACCCCCTTCCTTAAAGGGCCATCCCTATAAGATTTCCTTCTGAAAATGGTAAGGGATTTCATTGCTTTATGCAGGGGAAGGGTAGGGGGTGTTTTTGCATTTCATTTATGTCTGGGGTGGCTTTTGTGGGGGGTGTTTGTGCTGCATTTAAATTTGATTTATTATTAGTATTATTAGACTCATAGAGCTGGAAGGGACCTCCAGGGTCATCTAGTCCAACCCCCTGCACAATGCAGGAAATTCACAAATACCTCCCCCCACACACACACACCCAGTGACTGCTGTTCCATGCCCAGAAGATGATTTTTTTAAAAAAACCCTCCAGGATCTCCAGCCAAAATGGCCTGGAGAAAAATGGCTGCCTGGCCCCAAAGTGGCGATCGGCATTTCCCTGGGCGTGTCAGAAAGGGCCGCGAGAACGAAACACTGAGGCAGCCCTCCCTGCCCTCCCTCTCATAATCTTCCTACGTTCTTTAATCAATAGGCATGATCTGCCTATTGTCTTTGTTATTACTTAAAAGTACAGTTGTTTAGAGACAGACAGAGAAAAATAATGGCAGCCCCGATAGAAAAAAGTTTTTGCCCCACAAGACACAAAATCTGGTTACAGGCCTGGCTACATTCCCACGTGGGCTTCACGAGTGACCTCCTGCCTGCCCCTGTTCGCTTCCGAAAGATCTGCATTAGAATGAAACTTGACTGATGTTTTTCAAGGCAAGGTTGTAATTCCTCGCAACACCCCATGTCATATCATAACCTAGGAGAGAACCCAGCGGGAGGGACCCCGGCAGGCCGATACCTGAAAGACACTTCAGGAGGGGCGTTCCTTCGACCCTTGTCTGACACCCGCCACTCACCTTCCTCTTCACTTCAAAAGGGGAGGTGATGACCAGGGAGTTGTAGAACGAAAGCTTCATGATGTAGTAGACATAGATGGAAGGCTCGAGTGGCTGGGAAGGAAGCAAAGGAGAGAAAGGAGGGGCTGAGTCTAGTTATTCCAACAACCCCCCAAATTCAGCTCAAGTGATCATCTGGTTGCCCCCACTGCAGCCAGTATCCAGTGGCCCGGCCGTGGTCTCTTCCAGGGCAACAATAAGGAAACTTGGTGGAATTTCAGCCTCTTGGGGGCAGTGTTCCCTCTAAGCTGAGTTAGTGTGAACTACCTAAAAATTGTTTAGCTTCCAGCTCACACATTCTTGTCTTCACTCAGGAAGGGTGGCTCCAGAGCAAACTAATTTATGCAGTGGCCAAATCGCCCGCTCACAGCTTTAATTCCAGAAGTAGTGAAGCCGGGCAGATGGAGCAGCCCTTTTCTTGCAGCTGTGCTTTCGAACCGCTGCAGTCTCTGCTTACTTGTTTCCATACTGACGGTTTCTTGGCCACTTACCTGCTGCGGGTACCCAGTCCAGCACTCGCGGAAGTCCCACGACCAGGGTTTCTGCAACGAGACAGAATGCTGGAGAACTGCATCCCACCACTCTGTACATTAGTCACAAGAGAGCTCGACACAAACGGGGGGGTCCTCCCCTCAGCCACCATGCAAGGACGCCTTTGACCAGAACAATCCAGCTGTTGCCCTGGGCCCAGAGGTGTAGGAAGCGGCTTCACATAGACCACAGGGCCCACTGGCCCGTGGTCACCCATCGCGGCTGCAGATAATCAATACTTCCCTTTTGTCAAATTCCTGGAGACAGGTGTGCTCCAAGCTTCGCCCCAAATATCCCATGCTTACCTCCCTCAGTGAGGTGTGAGACGATTCCCCGATGGGACTGCCTTGATTGTCACTGCCCATGTTCATGTGGAGCAACTCTGTGACTGCACAGTAGCTGCCCATTCAGTTCATTGCAACATTCGTTCTTGCAATGCTACCCTCTGGATTTCTTCCTGCAGTTGCCATTTCACGTTAAATTTCTGAAATTGCCACTATTACACCATTGCCGTTACTCCTACCACTAGGCGATAGTCCTGGTGTCGTGGTTGATGGTTCTGTTGCCAGAGGCGCTGCCTTTTACTATTGGGTAGCCCCAATAGCAAGGGCACCCCACTTCTAACCTGATCCAGAGACCCACAAAACTCAGGCCAAGAAAGGCACTCCTGGTTCTGAAACATAGAGCTAGCCACAGCTCTGAAAAAGGGGTCTCCATTTTCAGGTGACAGGCAACCCCAGAGCAAGCCTCCAGTCTTCCCCCTCCACCCAGCACAGATTATGCTTATGGAATGACAATGAGTTCTAGCAGGTAAAGTATCTACATTTCTGAAGTCTATTTAATTCTTTGTCTGAATCCTTGTCTTTTCTACTCTGTCCCTCAAGATATCGGGATAAACCAATCAAGCATTCAAATTATTAACGATCCTTCCTGATGCTAATCAGAGACGTCTCCCACCTTTTGTTTACCCTGGCCAGGACCATTAGTGGTCAGATAATCCATTCAACTAGCCACCCAGCACCTGGCTTCTATTGTTAAATCCAGACCTTGCCTCTCTGGAAGCTCATTGGTCACATCTAGGCCTTGCCCATCCTGAGGCCACACACCCCTGGGACTCATCATTGGTCCAGGAAATCTATTGTTCTCACCTGAGACCAGCCCCCAGGACCGCCCATTGGTCTGCATTGTCTTCCATAGGGTATATCCCAGTGTAACCATGGCCTCAGACCGTGTGTCTTCTGCCATAATCCAAAATGGCAGTCCACCCCTGAAATCTCTGAGTTTAGGCCACAATCCTTTCTTCATGGACCTCTGCACATCTGGACAGGTTGTATCACCCATCTATAAGCTATCAATCACCTCTGCTTCCTTATAGTTCTATATTGTGTGTGAGAGTGTTTGAATATTGTTTGTATGCTTGAGAATGTTGAGTAAAGAAATCATTATTTTAGCCACCCAGTTTCTGTGTCTGTTCCTGGGTTCTTGGGAATTCTAACTCTGCTATACACAGGTCAGATCCTATAGATAAGCCAATTGCATATTAATAATTATAATTCCCCATCTTTATTAAATAATACAGCAATTTGGCTAACAGTTCCTTCTAATTTTTTCTCCCTACCAAACAGAGCAGTTCACAATCCTGAGCAGAATGTATCTGCTGTAATCTTAAAACGAGAGAGAACCATGGAAGAAGAGTACATAACAAAAATACCGTGGAGAATAACGAAAATAAGTACGCAAAAAATGTGTTTATATGTGGGTAAATGAAAATGCATTAACAATAATAAAGTCACAATTTTTCAGCATTCAGAGACAATATCCACATTCAAAGTGCATATTGCATGTAAAAGTCCAAATCCATATCAAAGCAAACCACACAACATACACTTTGAATGTGGATATTGTCTCTGAATGCTGAAAAATTGTGGGAACGCTGGGCCCGTGGTATACTAGCACTAAGCTGCTCAAACTGAACCAAAAACAATTTACAGAGCTATACATTCACCAATAGACTTTTCAGGCCATGTTGGGGTGGTTTCCGAGGAATGATGGCAACCAGGGGTCATTTCGTAGAAAAAGAGGTGCAGGAGCTCATTTGCATAACTTATTTGCATATGCCACACCCCCTGACATCACCGGAAGTGTGTCAGAAGGCAACACCCACCGCTCCGGCTCCACGGGACTGTTTTAGATTGCTAGCTATGGGGGAGGGGGGACGTGCAGATCTGTCCTCGCAGAGGAGGGAGAGCTTGTACCTGAATAAAACTTGGCCTTAAAGGTGCCACTGGACTGTTTTGGGCCGGGGGGTTGGGGGGACTCTGCAACATATTTGGCTGCTTCTTGCTCTGACTGAGGGCTGCTGGGAGCAGGGGGTGGGGCTTGTTGCATGTGCCCACCCCCTGGGCTCTTTACTGCCGGAGCTCCGCTCCTGTGCGCTCCTGCAGGAAATGACCCCTGCCTTTGGCCATCCTGTAGGTTTAGCTGGCAACCTGAATTCCCATGGATGAGCTAACATGACACATTGGGGAGACAGCATGGTGCAAGGGTTAGAGTGTCAGACTAGGATCTGGGAGACCCAGCTTCGAATCCCTGCTCAGCCA